ACCACAATTCAAAAGCATTAATTCTTCGGTGGTCAGCTTTCTTTATAGTCCATCTCTCACTTCCATACATCGCTACTGGAAAAAACCATAGCTTTGACGATGCGGACCTTTGTTGGCAAGGTGATATCTCTGCTTTTCAAGATGCTGTCTAGGTTTATCACTTTCCTCCCAAAAAACAGGCGTCTTTTAATTTTGTGGCTGCTGTCACCATCTGCAGTGATCAGGGAGCCCAAGAAAGTAAAACCTGTCACTGCCTCCATATCTTCCCCTTCTATTTGCCAGGAGGTGATAGGACCAGTGGCCATGATCTTAGTTTTTTTAATGTTGAGCTTCAGACCGTTTTTTGCACTCTCCTCTTTCACCTTCATTACGAGGTTCTTTAATTCCTCCTCACTTTCTGCCATCAGAGTAGTATCATCTGCATAAGTCCAATAAATAAATAAATAAAATAAAATATCGGAGGCTGTTGATATTTCTTCTGGCAATCTTAATTCCGACTTGGGATTCCTCAAGTCCTGCCTTTCGCATGATGTGTTCTGCATATAAGTTAAATAAGCAGGGGGACAATATACAGCCTTGTCATGCTCCTTTCCCAATTTTGAACCAATTAGTTGTTTCATAACTGTTGCTTACTGTCCCACATATAGATTTCTCAGGAGATAGATAAGATGATCAGGCACTCCCATTTCTTTAAGAACTTGCCATCATTTGCTGTGGTCCACATAGTCAAAGACTTTTAGGGTTGGTGCTTTTAAAATGCTGAATACCTAGTTGTCTGGTTATTTGCAATGCATTATTTGCAATGCATTATAATTGTGTCCAGGTGACAAGCAGGGAAAACTTTGTATATTGGAAGAGTTGGAGCTATTCTGTTCATTGGAGCCACTGATGTATTGCAGGTGCATAACACTGCAGACAGGAATGGTGCCAAGTTATTTTGGGGATAATAGCAACTCTACTTATTTGCAAGGGTATGTATTTTCTGACTGGGAGCATCCCAAGGATTTATGAACTCTCATTGACGTCAGTTGATTTGAAGTACAACAGCCATGTGTCTCCTTGAAGCCAACAACAGAAAACAAACCCCGAGCGTAGTTCATGTTAAATGTAAGAGAAGATTATGGAAAGGGGGGAAAAACACCAGTTGGGAAGCATGTAGGAATACTATCCTACCCTTCTGTAATGCTTGAAATCCAGTAATGTAAAGGTACTCTGCATAAATCTGATGACACCATCTGCTGTGGTTGTATTTTGGTAATTAAATGATTAAATGTTTCCTATCCAGCCCCAAAGATTCCTAAGCATCCTTTAGGATCCATTTGGTCCTGGGGAATGTTTAATTACCAAAATACCTTCACAGCTGGTGATGCTATCGGATTTACATGGTGTAACTTCATGTTACTGGATTTCAGCCAATGAAAGTTGACCTACTTCTGCCCATTGGGTAAAGACCAGAAAAACAGAGGTGAAATATTTTTTAAGGGAAGGAATTATGAAAATACTATTCAGTTCATGTCTTGACTGAACAAAGTCTGTCCTGTATGTCTCATGACCTCCAGCAGAGAGCAGAAAAAGGTTGTTTAATAAACTTCTGGTGGGTTGCGTTCCATCTGGTGAATCACAAGATGTGTAAACATTTTTTTTAGTTCCTACACAGCTAGGTATCAAACACACGTCACTGCATTCAAAACATTTTGAAATCTCTGTAATCAAGATATTCTGAGCAGATTATTCCATTTACTCATAAATATTGGGATGCTTGAAAAAATTTATTAAGAACAGTAGATTCTTATGGCTGCTTCAAAACGAACAGATTTATTTCAATGTGAGCTTTTGAGCACCTCAAACCACTTTTTCAGACACAGCAAAAAAAAGTGTGCTGCTTATATATCATAGCACTTAAAACACTCTCTGGGTGGTTTACAAGTTAATTATGCAGGCTGGGTGCTCATTTTACTGACCTCAGATGGATAGAAGGTTGAGTCAACCCTGAACCAGTTGCCTGGGATTGAGCCCTGGGTCATGAGCACAGTTTTGGCTGCAGTTTAACCACTGTGCCATGAGGCTTATTAATTAATTTAGAGAACACATGGCCCTCGTCCTTCACCATTGGCTATGCAGTCTGTAACTTGTGGGAACTGAAGTCCGAAAACATCTCAGTGGTTCCCAACCTCGGATCTCCAGAAGCCTTCACCATTAGCTGTGATGGCAAAGGCTTCTGGGAGTTGCAGTCTATGAACATCTTGGGACCAAAGACTGGGCACCACTGACCTTGAGGACCATATATAGTCCCTGCCCCCCCTGCCTTAAAGACATGGGTGACAGCTATGTAAAGAGAATAAAATAGATATGATTGAAATGGCGACTTGCTTGTAGTTGGACTATTTTTGGTTACTGCTTTTTTTAATCTTTTATGAGAGCTACACACATAGTAAAATTTTATTGGATGTTTATACTCACAAAATTAACAAAGTTGGTGTTTTAAGCACTTAGTGGAAAAGCATGAAACAGTTCATGTCTAGCCTGTGTAATAACTTTTCCTTTACAAGCATGGAATATAACACAGTTGCCCTCTGCTGATATTTTATCTCAAACGGCAATTTAACATTGCGCTGCAGTTCCTGAATATTAATATTGCTAGTGTGACTGCAAGCATCACAGGAAAAAAAACCAAACAACTTCTTTTTTCATCTTTATAGAAATTCACTGTTGAATTTCTTGGTCCATATAGCTTTATTTACTATAGTACTGATCTACTTGGAAATTTTTTTTGTATTTTTAAATAAGAGAGGCAATGATCCTTATAAACATGTTGCTCTGAATGTAGTTTCAACAGGAAGGGAACTTTGAAAATGTTAACCTCCTTCAGTTTGTTATTTTCTGGTATGGTTCTATTCTGTTTTGTATAGGGGCTGGCTAGATAGCTCCGTTGTTTAGGTCCCTGGCTGCTGAGCCAGACTTTGGGACTTCAATTCCTCATTGTGACTCCAGGGAGGAGAGCCAGCCCGTGTAGCCTTGGGCAAGCTGCACAGTCCCAGGGTTGCCTCTAGAAGAAAGAAATGGTAAACCACTTCTACTGACTACCTAAAAACCCTGGAAAGAGTTGCCATAAGTTAAGATTGAATGGGTGGCACACAATTCTTCTCCTCTTCCTCTTCTTTATAGGACAAGAGCTTCAAACTATTTCCCAAGGAATCCTGGCTTTCCTAAGGAGTTTATTAGAGGTCCTGTATGAGAAGATTACTAATAGTAGACACAGTTTACTGAAGGGTAGCTTGTTTCCTCTAACAGTGTTTCCTGGTAGTGTGCTATAGTACAGTCTAAGGTGACTTTTCTTATGTACAAGCTGATGTACAATCAAGGCTTAGCATATGGTATAATGCACTTTCTGCTTAAGGTTTGGACTCCATGATATATAGGGCCATCTCAAACACCCAAAGTGAGCATGCAGAAATTCCGTAGCCTGGCCAAGATTCTTTCAGAGCAGCCCCAATCAAACGCCCCTCCACATTGCCCATGGTTCTCGTTGTCTCTGACCATTAGCTGTGCTGGCTAGGGTGAATGAGAGTTTTAGTGCAAAACATTTGATGAGATTCAAGTTGGGGAAGGCGATTTTTTAGCTCAGATTCAAATCACTAATATGTATATTGAGAGTTTGCAAAGGAAGGACACTGTCCCTTTTTTTTACACAGGAATTATATGCCTATTTCTAGTCAAAGTTAATGGGAGCAAGAGTAAAATCTTGTGTGAAGATAGATGAAAACTGTTGCCTTTTTTTCTTTTTGGTAGAAACTGTAAAGTTTATGGAGGGACCCAATAGAGTAATGAAGTAGGCTTAAACTTTGTAATTGTACAAATACTGAAATAGCCTGTAATACTTTTAAATTACAGCCTGTAGAGACATTGCCACAAATTACCCAATAAATGGTAATAAATTGCCTATTTTTCATGCCAGCTTTGAAATCTGATTCCAAACGGAGGATTAAAAGGACCAATAAATGGTCACAAAAGAATTGTTGTCATCTGTAATGGGTAATGGAGCTTCTTCCCAGATTTTTAAGGATGAAAATAAGAGCTTTTTAAAAATGGAAAGCTGCATTTGATTGGACTTGAGATAGGCCCAAAATTTCACTTAACAGTTTATAATTTAAAACTATTAATTTCATGTGCAAAGGGTAATCCTCCAGACACAGCAGAAGATGAGCTAGCCTAATTCATATAATTGAAAAAGCAAAGCCAATTAATAGCTCACCTGATGAACAGCACATCTGTATTGTGTGCTGAGAGCAGAGCTGTATCATCATTAGAACATGAAATTGTTTAGTATTTCAGAGACATAATTTAAACAGACTTTCTCAACAGAGCCCCATACCTCTGACTGAATCCTGTGTTTACCTTCTGATAGCTAATAAGAAAACACAGCATGCTGATTTGCAAACTACAAGAGGTGCACAAAGCTTCTGCTGTGACATTCAGATATAATTTCAGCCATCAGTTAAGAAGTCAAAGGTTGTATTTTTTTGCTGCATCTTCCAAGAAATGCAACTGGTTTCCAACAAGGAATGTGAGTGCCGACTTATTCGCTTTTGGCAATTTACCACTCAGACTTACGCTGTTGGATTCACATCACTGGGCATAACAAATGGAATTCTGGCCACTATCTGTAACATACAGTTTGGTCCTAAATTTGAGACCCAATCCAGTTCATTACCAGTTCCAGGAAGCTGGTGGATGGGGAGAAGGTCCACACGGCACCTGTGGTGCTGTGCTGACAGCTTTGTATGAAGCTGTCAGGTGCATGAAAGGCCCATCTTTAGAAACCATGCTTCTACAGTGATAGGAGTGAGGGAAGGTAAATGGCTTTCAGATGCTGTCCCTTTCATGTTGAATTCATATTATATTGGATGTAACTTTACTTTTATGAATCCTAGGAAACAGGTTTGTTCTGCATTAGAAATAAAAGATATGTGGGATGAGTCTGAGGATTTGTGTTCAAAGACAGACCCATGCTTTTAATCCTTCACACACATGAATAGACTCTGTAGTCATGTTGGGTCTCCAGAGACGTGAGGATTTCTGTGTGTAATTGAAAGATGGCCCAGGAAGACATTGAGCTGGGCAAAACCAAACTTCATTTGTAATTATCAAACTTCAATTGGTTCTCACAAACATTTGGCTGGCACTCACTTCAATGGAGGCTGTAATGTTGATCTTCTTGAGTGTCTTTATTTAGGGCTACGGTGTCCTTTCTGGGAGCGGTATAAAGGATGACGTGGTTTTCTGGTTGGTCACTCTTGCCTTGCCATGACTTGGTTTATAGTTGTTCTATAAAAAATTGATCAATAAATGGACTTGCTTATAGAAATGATTGCATTCCAGACAGCCACAAATGTAGTGTATCTATAATTAAAATTGCTCACACAGCTATTTTCTTTTTTACTGTTTGTGGGAGATGGAGAGATTATATACACAAAAGACATTTTTATATCGCAGGGGTAACATCTGATAGTAGTGGCAAAGTGCTAGGGGTGTCACCATGTAAATATAGTGTGAATGCCCCCCCTCTGAAAAACGACCTTGAAAATGTATGCCTTAACACATGTATTGGCTTCTAGAATGTGCAATACGAGCTCCCTTACATACAGGTACGTCCAGATTTTTTAAATTCTCAAATACTTTTATTTTTGGAATACTGTATATGCACCTAGGTTACTAGTCCTTTAATTTTAGGATTAAAAAAAAATCTCTCCCCTCCCCCGAGAATTTGACTTCTTTTTTCAACAGACTTCTCCATTTTAAAAATCTAGTAAGACAACACTTCCTATCATTACATTTTTACCCCTACCTCTCTTTGTGTTTAATAATGAGTTACTGTCCCTTGTATTGTCTGTTCACTGTTACGGAACAGCTGTGCTGTGTTTAATCCTAACAATTATAGTTGAAAACCTGTAAACTTCAGTAAATACAACAGTGAGACAAGATTTATGCAAATCTCTGAGATTCAATAGGTTGACTCTGCTTGGGACTTCCAGTTGGTTTTGGGTAGAGATGGGATATCACTACACAGTATTGTCACCACAGGTGACAATACTGTGGTGATGATATTTGCATTTGTCTCTCTGAGAGACAAATGTGAATATTCTAACTCTAGTTTTGGGTCCTGTGGTGGAAATTTATAATTACTCCTCCTTGCTATTAGGAAGTGTATTACATGAGGTGAGTTTCTGCTGGCAGATGTACAAGTTACAACTAAGAAGGGATGCCGTAGCTCAGTGATAAAGTGCATATGTGGCATTCTGAAGTCACTGGTTCAATCTTTGCCATCTCTGTTAAGAACTCCCAGCAAGCTCCATGGCAATTGTCTCTTTTAGCAGGTAGCTAGGCCAGGTCTTGACCTGTCTTTAGGCCATGAAACCTTCCTGCCAAACCTGTCTCCAGGTGAACACAATTTAGGTGGAACTCCCAGGAGAGAGAATTCTGGGATTTGAAATCTAAAAAAAGAGGTAGTATATGCCAAATGCATGCAAATGCGAGTAGATAAATAGGTACCACTTTGGTGGGAAGGTAAAACGGCGTTCCCTAGTCACGCTGGCCACATGACAACGGAAACTGTCTTCGGACAAGCGCTGGCTCTACGGCTTGAAAACAGGATGAGCACCGACTCCTAGAGTTGGACACGACTGGACTAAAAATGTCAAGGGGAAACTTTATCTTTTTTATATTCCAACATATCTTACATTGAGCCTGTTGTTTAGTCAGCTCCTTTTCAGGATTCCAAGAAAGATTTATTTCTTGTCCCTCCTAGAGATTTGTAGTGTTTCCTAATAGTCTTTTATCTAAATAATGAACCAGTGTTGATCCTGCTTAGCTTTCACAGATGAGACTGGTGTGTTCAGAATGGTGTAGTAGCTTTTAAAAAATCTCAGAGGCATGAAAACCAGAGTGAATGAATCTCAAATCCACATCCTACTCTGAAATAGATGAGACTATGACTAAATTTTAACTGGTGTTGAAAGGATACCATATCAAGTGCTTAAGTTTAACAGGGGGGGCATTTCATAGGCAGAGTCTTCTGCCTAGTTGCTGTACAATGAGTTTCACCTGGCAAAGGAGTCTAGAAGAGAAACACCTGTGATTAGTTGGTGCAGGTTGGTATAGGGAGAGAATTTCAGGTTTACTAAGAATTCTTATAAATAAAACAGAAGTGCTCTGGACAAAGCAGTATCCCTAAAAGACTTTCCTGTGTGTAAAATCTTAATAATAAATAAGGCAATAACTGTTTACATCACAGAATGAGGGTGAGAATAAGGAGTATTAGCAAGACGATAATTTTTTTAAGGCTCATTTTATGTCTCTGCATCTATATAGGCCAGGATCTAAACGTATGCCAAACTAGCTCTGTGTATTAGGGATGTCTGGGGTTTGCATTTCGTAAAGAACAGCTAAGGAAAAAAGGAAGAAAGAGAGAAAAATCTTTTTTTAAAAAAAAAAGTTACAGAGTTTCAGAAGCAATTTGCATTTTGGCATGATGGGAGAAAGTTTTGTTCCAAGCAGAAAAAGTTTTTAAAATCCCACCAGGCAAATGCAAGCTCTTGAGCGTACCTAAAGTAGCTTTTTGGATCCTGTCCATGGTTTGTAATTAGCTGCATATAAGTTCTGTGCTTAGCATAAGCACTGTCATTTTCCAATGATACTGAAACCTGAAGGCAATATTGTTAAATATGCAGGAAACCTACTTGCTGGAATTATTCTTCAGTATACAGTATATTCCTCTAGCAAGGAGATGCTTCTAGCCATGCAGAGGTTGATGGTAATCCAAAGACTTCTTGTCACTCATTGATAAGGGCAACTGCTAAAAACAATACAGATCTATGATGTTTATGTTAAAAGAGAGGAACTTTGAATAACTTTTACTGTGCAGCATTAAATAAGAGATGATAATCTGTTTTTTTCTGATCTAGCATGAAAGAAGCAGACTAGATTAAGAACTACTGCTACACACAGAGGGGAATTAAAATCCCATGCTGTATATGAAGGTGATGGTCGATTCTGCTGTTTTGTCATATTAAAGTACATGTGTGGGAGTAAGATGGCTGCACCACTTACAACAGTCTGAATTAATCTCTTTCATGTCTCTGGTTTTTGAATAAAGGAGAAGTTGAAAATTCCATGTACATATGCATTGCACCACAGAAAATTTGTGACTAACTTTACTATGTATTTTCCTTAGATAGCAGAGAGTTGAAAATTCCATGTACATATGCATTGCACTGCAGAAAATTTGTGACTAACTTTACTATGCATTTATTTTCCTTAGATAGCAGAGAGTCCTTTAGGTTAAGGGGTAATTCTAGAAGCAAGCCTTTAAATTATAGATGCAGTTCATCAGGACATGCAAATATAGAAGTTGGGCTAAATGTGTAATATATCTAATTAAATGTTCAGAAAACTGGTTATATAAAAGATGGCTGTTGAAGGGGTGTTGCCAGTCAGAGAAGTTTTAAGATAGATGGTCCAGAGTAGACTTCAGCCTAGATGGGTGGGGTATAAATTAAACAAACAAACAAACAAACAAACAAACAAACACAAACACACACGCACGCACGCACGCACACATACATACATACATACATACATACATACATACATACATACATACATACATACATACATACATACATAGTATAATATAGCTTTACAGGTCTACTGCCTTATAGTTATGTCTTAAAGTCTTACTTTCAAATGTTAGCTCATGTTTTAAAGGTCCTCAGTCCATCAACAGTTTGATGGAGCTGCAAGTTAATTACATACTTTTACTGAAATAGGGAATGATGTGTGTGGCAATAGTTCTCTAATCTTTTAAAACTGAATATACTGTCTAGGTGGTGTCCATGGTGCTGAAATTGTAGCTCGCACACTGGAAGTGGTAACTTCTGTGATTTTTAGAATTGGACAACTATGAAGTACTGTAGTGAGGGCCGGTACTAAATATTTAAAGAAATATTTGAAACCAAGCATCATCCTGATTTGAGTAGTTATGTAAACTGAAGCAAATTCTAAAAAGAGGTGTTTTATTTCCAAAAACACTCAATGAGGTGTACTGTAGTGAGGGCCGGTACTAAATATTAAAAGAAATATTTGAAACCAAGCATCACCGAGGTGGTACCTATTTATCTACTCGCATTTTTACATGCTTTCGAACCACTAGGTTGGCAGGAGCTGGGACAAGTGACGGGAGCTCACTCCATCGCGTGGATTTGATCTTATGACTGCTGGTCTTCTGACCTGGCAGCACAGAGGCTGCTGCGGTTTAACCCGCAATGCCACCATGTCCCTTTTATTTTATTTAGAGCCACAAAAAAACTAGACACGGAATGCCGTGACGTTCCCACCGAGGTGGTACCTATTTATCTACTCACATTTTTACATGCTTTCGAACCACTAGGTTGGCAGGAGCTGGGACAAGCGACGGGAGCTCACTCCGTCATGTGGATTCGATCTTACGACTGCTGATCTTCTGACCTTGCAGCACAGAGGCTTCTGCGGTTTAACCCGCAACGCCACCACATCCCTTTTATTTTATTTAGAGCCACAACACTTATTTGGCAGCATGTAAGGAATCAGCATATTAATTCACAGGTATTTCAGGTACCACAGGTACACAGTGCCTTGTGGTAACTGTTAAAACCTCACTGCTGCAGTTAAGACTCTGCTCACAACCTGAGTTCAGTCCCAGCGGACTCAAGTTGCTAGCTTGAGGTTGACTCAGCTTTCTGAGGTTGTTAAATTTATTACCCATCTAGTTGGGGTGGTGGCAATATGTAGCTTGCACAATTAAATTGCCCAGGGAGTGCTTTAAGCATGATATAAACAGCTTTTTTGGGGGCTTCACTTTGCTTACCAAAGGTTTTCAATCAAAGAACTGCACAGAAAAAGCCAGTCCTTGCTAGAGTGGGCTATCTGCTCTTATTAACACTTCCTAAAGCTTCTTTAGCCCCTGAAGTATATATATTTTTTCTCAACCTCAGGAACCTCTGGAGACAGCCCTGTCTGCCTGACTCCCTCTTAGACTCAACCACCCTCAGCTCCTGTGTAAGAACTTACCTAGCCAAACCCCCTCTGGCAGTTAAACTGTCGATCCCAGCATTCTAAATCTCCTCCCCTTACCCGATTGATTGTTGATGTACTCTGATATGACTGGATGGGATACCTTTAGGACACTGTTCAATTAATTTACTCATTGCAACTTCTGCAAAAGTCCTGCTGGAGTTCTGAGCCAGACTTTGAAAAGCCATAAGTCTTGACTGTTTTAAAGCCACATTACAAGTAAAGTGTCCATGCAGATCTTGCAAAGTACAACTACAGAACATCAAATGATTTCCTGAATGGCTGTTATAAACGTCGTTCTTGATTTATGTTATGGAAGATCTACTCAGAGTAGAGCTGTGTGTTCAGGCTGAGCATGTACAGCACTACACTGATTCAGAAATGATTTCAGAAGGCTGTACCCAATGATATGTTTAACCCCAGTGACGGTAAAAACTTGAGATTACTAAAATACATGGTGCAAATTATATTACTGTGCTCTAGGGATATAAATCCTTCATCTTTTTAATGCAAAATTGTACTGTTCCTGTTCTTACTGTCTGGAATAACAAGTTTTTTTTTTGTTCTAGGGTTCAAGTCTTCCTGTAAGTCTTGCTGTCAAATTGCAGATTTGTGTTGACTTATAGTGACTATAGTAAGGAAGCCACACTCTGTGGATTGGGTCTAGACATGTGCTCAGTAGAGTTCCGTGCCTGGTAGAGAAGGGAAACTGCTTGCATTTTCACCCAAACATCCTTTTAAATTTTTCCTTCCCTGTGCAATCCTTTGATGAAGTAACCCTAAAGCAGTGTTTCCCAACAAAAGGGGGCATGAAGTGTTTTCAGGGGGGGGGGGTTTGCAGGTCACCTTATATGTGTTGTAGCCCTTATTTATTTCTTCCTTGACCTTTCAGAGCAAGATATTAAAGTGAGTATGTATATGTATGAGAAGTAGGCCCTTTTGGAAAGAAAGAAGCCTCAGCATTCTGAGAAGGGATTGCTTTTTTATACAGAACATGGCAGGGGGGTTGCAGGTTACTTGGCTGTTATGAAACATGGATCAATAATTTTAAATAATTATTACTTTTTGGGGGGTATCACCCACCACCAATATTTTTATAGACTTTAAACTGCAGAAGTTACTGTTGTGGGTGCAGACTGAAACCTCGGTGTGTCCAAAACAGCAGTAGCCAACCATCCCATCCCATGAGCTTTAACTTACTTTCAAATCTGTCTTTGGAAGAAGGAATTCCTTCATTGCTAATCGTGTGTGATTTGTCATTAGAGGAAGCTTTCTTCACTTCCCAGATTTTGCAAATTAGGTTGATTATGTAATTAGTCTTCTAGATAATGCAAGTCTGGTTTCATAGATATGAAAGACGGCATTTCTCATTAAGTAGTATGATTTTAGCTCTACCAACAGCTTACCTGTAACATGTAGTTTGAATAACATGTAGTTTGGGAGAGTAGAAAGAGACAATGGTGATGCATGTAAGAGAATGTGTCTAGGGGTGGCTTCAACCATTGTAGTACTGTTGAGTAATTCTTATTTCTCCCCCATCTTCATTGATTAGCCAGTAGGTTTGTCAGAATGATTTTGTTTAGTGGAGTGCTGATGATGTTTGGTGGGTCCCCACCCCCTACTAATTTGCAACAGTTGTGCTTTGATTGTAAAAATGTCTGAAGCTAAAAGACCAGCTCTGTGGGATTGTTGACTCTATATTTATTCTTTACAAAGTGTTTGCTCAATATTGTTGCGATGTGCGAGCTGAATTTTAAAAGCATTCTACAAAACGTTAAGATGGTGCCAGAGATATTTCCATCGCTAAAAAATAGGAAGACCTTGTATGAGATAAGGGAGGCTGTCATCCACTGATTTATATGGCGATGACCAACAAAGGAATTTGTAGAATTTTGATGAATCCTGTTTGCTTCTATTGGCTTTGAAGGCTGTAAGACTGCAGGCTGGTTTTCAAAAGTGCATGAGGAGGTATGACATGGTAACATGGGGCACAGTGGGATAGGCGTGAATTACTAAACCTCTCCCCCAATGCTTGCAAAAGTTGCTTTTTAAAACTACAACCCTCAGAACGTCCCAGGTTCTGGTGATTCCAGGAGATGTAGTCCAAAAAAGGTAACTTATCCAAGCTTCGCAATTTCCTGCTCTACATTCATTCTAGCAGGAATCATGTCTAGTCTTTCTTTACCACAGTTCCAGGTCTCCATGCAGTTGTTTGATTTCTACAAATTCCTCAGAAGACTGAAGAGCCCAATCTCCTTGTTAAAAAATGGTACTTGTATTTGGTAGCTGTTGTTTATCCAGGGAAATTTTCACATTCCAGATGTCAGCTTGGGCTTTGCAAAAGACTTGTGACAGGGAATTCTTGCAGAGCACCCAGGAATCCATCAGCATCTGCTATTCTCAAACAGCAGCTGGTCTTAATAGGTCCCGTATTTTTGCAGAGGCTATTACTGCCTCTATGACAAGACTGAGACAAATGAGATATGTGTGCTGGGATATTCCTGGTAGTTACAAGTGCTTATCGATAAAAAAAAAAGTAAAGTGACTTAAAATATCTCAGTGTTCCTGGTAGAAAATGAACACATTTTAAAAACTATGATAGGTAGAACCAGAAATAAAATCCTACACATTTCCCTCAGAAGCAAGACCTGAAGTGCTTCCTTCTGGGTAATTTAGTATATGACAGCAGAAGAATAATGTTTACTTTCTGTAATTTCATGTTACTCAAGCTGGCTGGATAGCTCAGGAGTTTATGAATCTGCCAGAGGTTGGAAGTTGGATTCCCCACTGTTCCTCCTGGGAGAAGAGCCGGCCTATATAGACTGGGGCAAGCTGCAGAGCAGAAGAATAATGTTTACTTTCTGTAATTTCATGTTACTCAAGCTGGCTGGATAGCTCAGGAGTTTATGAATCTGCCAGAGGTTGGAAGTTGGATTCCCCACTGTTCCTCCCGGGAGAAGAGCCAGCCTATATAGACTGGGGCAAGCTGCACAGTTCCAGGGTGTCCCCAGAAGAAGGAAATAGTAAACCACTTCTGATATTCTCTACCTAGAAAACCCTGGAAAGGGCCACCAGAAGTCAGAATTGCCACAATGGAACACAATTATTATTATTATTATTATTGAAAGTTCATGCTTCTGTAGTTCTAATTTGAAAGCTTTTGTCTCCCTTCCCTGCACCCAGTCCTCTTGCAAATTATCTCCTGCCTCTATACCAGTAAATATATAGATATCAGTCAGTAGAAAACGCTGTACTGCAGCTAAAACTGTGCTCACGACCTGGGGTTCAAATCCCAGGTAGCCGGCTCAAGGTTGACTCAGCCTTCCATCCTTCCGAGGTCGGTAAAATGAGTACCCAGCTTGCTGGGGGTCAATGTGTAGCCTGTATAATTAAAACTGTAAACTGCCCGGAGAGTGCTTGTAGCGCTATGGGGCGGTATATAAGTCCAATAAATAAATAAATAAATAAAAGCTTGAGACAAAGTCACCTCTGTGGAAGTAGTAGTAAAAATTCTTGAATCGAAACTGGAGGAGAAAAGCACTTCAATTAGAGCAGCCATGGTACTTTGTAGAAATGTTTGCTCTAAACCAGTGGTGTCCAACCTTGGCCCTCCAGATGTTCTTGAACTACAGCTCCCAGAAGCCTTCACCACCACCTCTGCTGGCCAGGATTTCCGGGAGTTGAAGTCCAAGAACATCTGGAACATCTGGAGGGCCAAGGTTGGACACCACTGCTCTAAACAATCAGGGGCATTTTGGACCTAGTTCTAAAATGATGGCTCCCAGCGGCACTTGAAGGCAGGACAGGAGAAATTACTCAGGGATAAAGAAGCCATTAAAAAAGAAAACCTGTACAGGCTCTTCAGTGAGTTTAGATCTGTAAAAGATGCGTTTAAATTTCCAGGACATTTGATGAAAGATAGGAAATAACCCAGCTATTTAAAAAAACACCTTAATATTTCTTTTATGTGTCACCCTGAATCTCTTAACCTCATTCCCTATATATGAATTATCGAGTTGGGGCATCTCTGGGTCTTCCTTGATTATCTTTCGAGATACAAATTGCTTCTGTGGAACGGAGTAACTTTTGCTGGCTCAGTGCCTTATGAACCGACTGCAATACACCCTGGAGATAAAGAACTTGGGCTTAGTGGAGTTGAAGCTCCAGATTTGACTGCTGCAATATGTTGGATGTGAGTGCCTTCTGAAAAGGAAACAGCAGTTGATCCAAAGTGTTGAGATTGTCAACTGAGATGAGACATTGTGGTCATGCTAAGTCTGTGATTTGCCAGCTCCGTTGACTCCCTGTTCATTGTGCAGCTCAGCTCCAAGGGATGGTTCTGATCTTTTTAAAGGTTTTCATGACTCGGGAATGGGATACCTTAAGGACAGTTTATCTTTGCATTTGGTTGTCTAAGTGCCCGCTAAGAGAATATGGTTGAAATCCTGTTGGCAAAGATGCACAGTGTAAATGATGATAATGTCATCAGTAGGAGATATTAATCCTTAATTTTAAACTTCCTAAATCCTCACCTCAAGTTCTGAGGCTCCCTAAGGATCCCTTTGGACATGGGGAAGCCCTTCAGAGTCTCAGGATGGGAAAGCCTTTTATGTCTGAAAATCACTGCCAATGATTCTGATCCCACTCTAGATATCACCTCTTACTCTGGTTTGGACCAAATGCACAGACTTCTGAAATCAAATCCTTTTTTTCTTTCTCATTCTAGAAAAACAGAATTCTAGAATTTCTGACCCTTTGTTTGCCCAAAATAGAGGCAGTGCTTAGCTCCTAGCTGGCCCTGGCTTTCCCCCTTTTACATCCAGTGGATAAAGAGCCAATAAACTTGATGACAAGGATTATTGATTAGGCAAATGAGAAGAGTCCCCTTCAACGCAGAGATATAAATTGTCAAAACCTGACATTCTGCATTTATTTGAAGAATACAGTTGTAGGAACTGGAGCCATAATTTATATAAATTCTGGTCATCATGTGAGT